AGCGTATGGTCCCCATGACAGTGCACCTGTGCCACACAAGAAGTTATTTTCTGTTTCACCACGATTCTGTTGGCAAGTTTCCATTCTATGCACATCACCTCCACTTTCCCCAAGACCCAGAGAGAGAGGAAAGGCAGTGAGAAGGGGGTGATAAGAAGAACAAGCTCAATAAAGAACTGGTTTATAAACGGTCCTGTTGTTGAGTAGGGATGTGTAGTGGATAGTAGTGATTGGGGGGAGGATGCTCTTAATAAAAATAGAAAGAAGTCAGAAAATGTAGGCCTCTGGGTCACCAAGAGCTTATAGAGAAATAGACAAAATAAGGAGGGGAAAACTACTGAATGTTACACTTTATTGACATAATATGATGACAAAAATAAGGCAATATAAAGGCTTGGTTAGGGTCATGTGTAAAAGGACACTTTTGACCTGTGTAACTGTGAGAACTTCTGGATGCTGCTGACATGTGTTTTCTCCCACTGGCTTTGATCAAGTCACTGTGATAAATAATTTAGTTGCTCATTAATATTTTCTTGCCTATTGTCACTCATCAACGTCACTGCCTAGACAGAGCAGAGAAATGGGAGATATGAAAACTTGTTTCTCTGTTGTCGTCTGCTGCTTGGGTTGCTTTACTGTTCCTAATGTCACCCAACAGGTGTGAGACTCAGAGCAGAAGAATGGAACAATGAGCCAACATAAGATTTCTTGTTTATTGTTAGAGGGTATATCACCTTAGGGTAGTCATTTATTAAATGGGCATTCTATTGTAGTATTAATTTAATGAGAAATGCACCTCCAAAGATGAGACACTTAATTTTAAATTTGACATTTGAAACAATATCTTCTTAATTATTTAGAGCATGGTCTCTCATATTGGTTCTATTGACATTTTGGGGTAATTTTTGGTTGTGGGGCATTGTCCTTTATATGGTAGGATGTTTGACAGCATCCCTGGACTCCACCTGCTTGATACCAGTAGCATGCTCCATTCTCAATGATGACAACCAAAACATGTTTCCAGAACATTGACAAATACTCACTTGAGGACAAAAATCTCTCCTAGTGAGAACTACTGATGTAGAGTATTAAAGTATCAAAGGACAATATCACCATACATAACTGTCAATGTATTATTTTCTGAGGTTAAGACATATGGACAGAGAGCTTTGGTCATTATTTAAAATAGTTTAGTATTTGGTCAAAATTTGGAAAACAAGCTGGGTTTTGGTAATGGTACTCTACAATAGGTATAGAGAAAAATTCATTGCATGTTGAATGTATAACTACCCACGTGTGAGAGCACACATTATTCAGGTGAACTCTGTCTGCCTTGTGAATCTTTAAGATCTTTCTGGCCTTGGTTATTTTCCCAAGCTTTCTCTATAATTATGCCAGGGAAAGAATTAGGTGGCATTAATCAAAACCAGACAGTGGACAAGACAAAGAGCTAGCATGAAGAAATATTTCTCTTAGAAATTCCTGGAGGGGAAACAAAAATTGATTAAGAAAAAGTTCACTGAGTTCTGTTGAAAGATGAAAAAGATTGAAAACGAATAAGGGACATACAAAAGCAATTATTTTTTACATGGTTTATCTAAGGATATCAAATGTTAAAACCAACAGAAAAATAAAATAGCTGTGTTTCAAATTTAGCATCAAAGATATTTAGAAAATATACTGAAAAGTATAAAAATCCTTTGAAGAATTGTAGAGAATGGAATGGTTAAATATAGTTATCTCAGAAAATAAAACCTAAACTGAATCACTAATAGCACCATAAAGATTTTATGCCTCCAGACTTTGTAGTTTTTCCTTTCATAGTTATCTCTAGAATTCTATTAGCTCTCTAATGTTTTAAATATATATTTTATAAAAATTTTAAAGTATTTTTCTTTATTCCAGAGTACTTTACAATCTTCTTTTATTCCAGTGTTTCTTGTTTGCTACCATAACCCTGAACTAACTTTTTTTCTGTTTTGCTTAACCAAATATTCCAGGGGTCAAATATTTGAACATTTTACTGTTCCCGTTGAAACAGTTTAGATTTATTATCTGAGCTATTGATTTTATCATAATGTAATTCAATGGAAATGGATTAATAACCATTTTATCTTGCTTGAAATACTGGCAAAGATAGATTAAAATGAAAATTATTTTATTATTTTTTAACAGTACCTTTATAAATAATTAGAAGATATTCACTCACAGAGTGACTTTTATGTGGGAGAATTTGACAGAAGAGAACACTAGGCAAAACTAAACGAACACTTTAAAGTTCTTAATCTGTGTTTACCTCTAGAGCGTAGAGGTCAGTCTGAGACTGACTTAGATCAGTTGTCATGAGCTCAGTAGTCTTCAAACTTACCTTGCAATCACGAAGAGTACACAACTGACTCCCAAGCAGGCTAAGAGCACATACATCCAAATGTCAGGAGACAGGGGGTTGAGAAAGGAGAAGACTCCTGGATTGGTACCATTGGGCTTCCGGTAGAGAATGCTGATGCCCAGGGTCATGAAGGGCTTGGAGAAGTCAATGACTTTCTCCCGCACGTAGGTGATGGTAAGAGGAGCCACCGCCAGGTCAGCTCTCTGCAAAAGCAAGGTCAAAATCATTGTCTTAGTTGTTTAGCTTCCTGGCAAATGTCTGGACTTTTCTTGGGTACTTCTGATCCCGATTTCCAACTCCAAATATTTCTCATGCAAGAAGCTTCTGTGATGACTGGGTCTAATATAACGACAATTGATTTATACAGTTATGTTTATGAAAGTGTTGTGACGACATGGATGGATATTGAAATAACTGAGCAAAGTGAAATAAGTCAGATAGAAAAAGTTGAAACCCATATGCATTCACTCATATGTGGGATATGAAACTGAAAACAACAAACAAACATGACAAACAGAGACTCATGGACATGGACAATGGATTAGTGGTTACCAGAGGGGGAGAGGGAGGAGGGAGGTATATAATATAAAAGGAGTCAAATATTTGGTGACAGAAGGAAATCTAACTTTGAGTGGTGAACACACAATGCAATATATATATGTGACATTGTAAAATTTTACACTTGAAACTGATATTATTAAACAATGTCACCCCAATAATTTTAATAAAAACAAAAACAAAACAAAACATACATAAAGTATATTTATTAGGAAAGAGAAACCAGAAACTATGAAATACACACAGACAGACAGGCAGACAGACAGACATATTATATACATTCTGGAACTAAATGAGGGAAAAGGCTGTAGAACGATGCCTTTTTTAAAAGCATGCGAGAAAAGCAAGGAGGAGCAGCTTGGTCATAAAATTCGTTGACAAGACGAGATTTTTCTCTGAGTTGCAAACTTCAGAATTCTTTATCTCATTTAAGAATAACTCAGGTTTATTCTTCAGTGTGAAGGATAGTCCATACATTTTTATCTTCAATTTTTATCCTTACTTGCCCTTCCAAGAAAGCAAACTCCATTTCCAGGTTGTTTTCTCCTACTTTTAAAATCATTTTTATGATTCAAAAAAGTGAAACATTTCCTCTGACTTGACTCAACAATTTTTTTTCTTTTTTCTTTTACTTTCCCAATGCATTTTTTCAAACATTTAAAATCTATATATGGGAGATGTATTTTTGCTTACGTGGTCTATAAGTTCTTTGACCATTCCATTCCACTCTCCTTTGTCATTTTGGGCTCCATATTTTCCATCAGGGACAAGTTTAACATCATAAATAAAACCCAAAATGTTTGACAATTCCTTCAAAAGGTCCAGGCAATATCCTTCAAATCTGTCATTTCCATATAGAGGCTTGTCAGATTTCCTATACATTACATAGGGTTCTTCCTATACGAAGCAAAACAAATATAAATGTCCTGTTATAATGGAAAGCAGAATTTACTTCCATGAGCTCCATCAACAATTAGAAATTATAAAATATTCGAAAATGATTTTTAAGATTTGAGAGTGCTGAAATCAATCACTTACCTTCCTCCCTTTGCTAAACTCATCCATCTTATACCCTCTACAAATACAGAAAACATGTATTACTCTCTCTTCCTCTCTCTTTGAATGAGAATTTTTTTCTTCCACTGCTGAGGGCAGGGCTGTGAGTAAATGGTGTGACAGAGACTCAGTCACGTTTAAATTTTAGATCTGGCAGAGAGGACAATGGGGGACCAGATGTCTAGATGTTTGGCCTCCAGCTATATCCACAGCCAAACTTTCTTTGCATGACCCGCCCTTTCTCCTAGCTTTTATATAAGAGCTTCATTTACTAACAAAGGAAATCTAAATCAGCAAGTATATCCTCTTTTTCTTCAAACTTCCTATCTACTGAATATTCTTATTTCCTTATCGCTCAGGTAAATTTCATATCAATTTCATTATTATTATCTACATATTTTTGGTTGGTTTCCTTCAGGTATCTTATTCAAAGACTGTTTCTATGTCTTCTTTTAATCCCTAGCTCCATTTTCTTATTTGAGCTCACCTCAGTTACCTACATCTGGTAATTCTTTGCTTATACATTTACATGATAAATGCCCTATTCTTTGAGTAATGGACATTTCCTTACTACCACATATCTATAACCTTAGTCCTCATTTGACTAGTTAAAAATTTATAAAATTCTGTTAGTTACTATACTACGTCATTTTATTTCTTTTCATTATATATTTGTTCAGCCATTTAAGACCCATTTAGGCTTATCTTCAAACAAACTGATAGAAATAAAAAACTATGTTTTTAGGAGATAGTTGCAGAGAAAGTATTCACCAAAAAACAAAACATTTTTGATTTTCGATCAAACAATCTTCAGAAGTTAACCCTCTTAGAAATACATAGATCTGACATTATAGACTGAATCAAATAGAGCAGGTACATCTGAAAGTGAAGATTTTAGACATGGCCACTCTTGCCCTTTATCCTTTGGGTTAGGTTTGGGAAAGAGGGAGAATAAATAACCTGTGGATGAACAGTGGCTAGATAAGTGTATGATTAGGGTTCCAATAGGAAGCAGGAAGTGCCCTTACCTGTGCTTCGAAGAGCAGTTAATAAATAGGCTATTTACAGAGGAGTGAGCAGGGTAAAGGGAGACAAGAAGGATGGAGGTGAGAGAAGGGGTAGGGTGTAGATACCCAGGAAACAACATTATCTGGAAGCCTGTACCACTTAGGGCTGAGGCAGGCTGGAACAAAGAATGCTGATGGAGTCTAGCACAGCTGGAGTCGGGAAGCAGGATTATTTATAGGATAGAAGCTTCCAGATTGCAAAAGACAGAGTTTCTGACAAAGCCATAGGGAGGCAGGGAAAGGCATTTTCTTACATCTCTTCTCCCACTTTCCTGGTCTCTTGCCAGAGTCTCCCCTTGATTGACACCAACCAGCAACCAGAGAGCGAGGCACACAAACTGGGTGGGGCTAGAGAGCAGGGTAGAGCAGAGGTGAGAGTGGATTGGAGGTGAGAGATCTTTAAAACGTTGTTGGAAGCTTATAATTCAGTCCAGTTATCGGTATAAACAAACACATGTTTTTAGTGTCCCAAATTAAAAACAGACATTTGCAGACAGAGTTGCTGGCATAAAAAGAGTTAGTTATAGAATATTTCAAGGTCGAGGGTAAGAGTCTGGATAAGAGGAATCTGGATAAGATGTCCCGAATTTCACACGGTCAACTTACCAGAATGGTGGTGACGATGAGCGTTCGGTTAGCCAGTGAATCAGTGATATTGTTGGACCTGTCTCTGTTACCATCCGTCATGTTAAGCCCACTGTTGGAGTTCCAAATCCCAATCTACACAGAACACAGTACATCAGAGGCCGCTGGCTGTCGGCGATGGCATTTACACTAAGGAGAGGCCCCTTCTACACCGGGAATGGACATATAAGCTCATGGTCTGGGAAGAGGACACCAGAGCATCACAGTGGAAGCTACTGATTGTGGGAAAATGAAACAATGGAGGAAACAGTCTGCAGGAAAAATAAGTTCTTTGAGATGAAGTGGGGAGGTCTTTTATTTTTTAATTTATTGAGCTCATTCTTTTTAAATTAAAAATTCTTAAATGAGTATCAATTTTTTTCTTCTAATATGTATTGGTCAAGGACCTACTTATATGCCAGGTACTGTTCTAGGTGTTGGAGGACATAGCAAGGAACAAAACAGACAAAAGTTTCTGCCCTTGTGGAGCTTGTAGTCTATCAATACGAACCTTACATTGCCCAAACAGAACCATCAGTGCCTTTAAAATTTATAAGAAGTGAGACAGAGGGAGCAGAGTGGATGATGGAGAGACTGGGCATCTGGAAAAGAAAGGTAGGTGGAAGAAAAGGTGTAGATGAGCAGCGGACTCAGTTCTGGGCTTTTCCATGAGGAGCCAGGGCTGGGAGGGGTGTGGTACATCTTGTGGACAAGCGTAGGACTCTGTTTGTGCCTCTGTTCTGGGCCTATCTTCTGTTATTCATCTGTTTACCTGTCTTGTCATTCCATTTGACTCTGAACTCCTTCACTGAGGGTATACACTTTGATTGCTCATGGATCTTTGTATCACATAACTCCTGCTGGCGATTGGCAGTCAGTGAAACCCACAGCTCTTTTAAAAAATAATGACCCACAATTTTCTTCAGTGTTAAGCCCTGTAGAAGTGAATCAATGTATTTAGCCTCTGGAGGAGCCCAGGAGAAGAGCCTCAGGAGGTTGCACTATTTGTCTATTTGTTTGAAGCCTTTTATGGGCATTTACTGCCAGCTTGGTGAGAGGAGATGTACATATGCTTCCGAGCCAGCCAAACCTAACTGCTTTGTGACCTTGGACAAAATGCTAACCTTCCTGAGCTTTGGTTGTCTAACTCTAAAAGACGTTATAGGGCTATTGAGAAGATCAAATGAGAAGATGCATGTGGATGTGCTGGTATCTATTAAGAGCAACACCAATGTCGATAACAAAGACACCCTGATGACTGCTCCAGTCTTTTCCTCAAGCTTGTCCTGTTGTGAAAGAACTTGGAATCATTAATACAATTCTTTTTTTTTTTTTAAATTTAGAAGCAGATAAAGTAAAGGGTCTATGAAAAACAGGGACAGTGTCAGAACACTAACATTTGGACAAACACTGGGGTAGACGGGGTTGACCGATGCTTGATCCCTAAATAGATTCCCCCAGTGGGAGGCCCTTAGGTTGGAGGGATAGAGTATGAGCTTCACAGACAGACTTCTGTCCAGATCTTAGCTTCGCCCATTACCAGCGTGTGACCCTGGGCTAGTTAATTAACCCTGCCATGCCTCAACTTCTTCACCAGCAAAATGGAGATAAGAGGCTTTTCTGATGATTAAATAAAATATCACCTGTGGGAATGTTAGGTCTCTTCTTTCTTACTTCTTTACTTTGATTTACTGCCTAAATATAGCAGCTGGAAATTCATTTAGCTCGACAAATATCCTTTTGAGAAACATAAATACTTTGAGGAAGTTTCAAGGATTATCACATATTCACACAGCAGTGCAAACGATTTCAATTTCACTGTTTTCTTTCTGTACTTAATGAGAGTTTGTTGGTTGGTGAAATAAGGAGACCTGTCTAAGTAAATAGGGGCTGGAGGTAGTTTTTGCATTTGAAAGTATTTTGATGCTGTCTGTAAAGAAGTTGCTAGAAGCAGGGATTGGGACATAGGACCTTTAATAACCGTAGGTCTTTCTAGGATCAAGCATGATGGCTCTCATTAACACACGATGCACACAATGTCTACTAAAGACGCTTCAGTTTTCTTTGACTGGCTTTAAACCCCCAAAAGGGGGACAACTTTTTCTTCTCTCTCTTTATCTCTGTCTTCTCTCCCCTTCTCCCACTTTTTCTGAGGCAGGGACTCTTCCAGGAAACATAACTCAGGCTAAACACACCTGGAGTCTATTGGTTTTGATCCAAAGCTAAGTTTTAGTTTGCAAACAACTGATGTTTAACTCTATAAAGACTGTAAATTGGGCCCTGGTTGTACTTGTAATTAAACCTTGACTTAGGCACTGGGGAGAATAAAACCCAAATTTTAATTAAGTATTGAAAGGTGGAGAAAATAACTCTGTTTGTAGCCAATTCATTAAGTAGTGGAATGTGTTCTCCTTCTTATTTTCATTAATGTCAAGTGTGTGTTTAAAGAAACTATACTAATATTTGAAAATGGCAATGTTGATCAGGTTCACAATATCATTCTCTTTTAAAATGCAAACTTGAAATTGTAGACAAGTACACCCCACTGCTTAATGTCTGGCTGTTATTTCGTTTCCCAGCCTTACTAAAAGTGCAAAAGGTTAGATGTCATTGCAGCTGCGTTTCCAATCAACTGAGTCCCAACGTCTCATTCAGCGTGAACTTTCCTCCATAAAATGAGAAAAAGGAGAACATATTTTTTGACTACTCGTGCAACAGAATTTCCTTCAAATCTAGACTAAAATAGTATCAAAATATAGTCAAGGTCAGGCTATTCCTGGGAGGGAAATGGCAGACATATGCAGTTCAATGGCCTCAACCTTCCATTTTTAAATCTTTTAATCAGCAAAACAAAAGTGTGTGTGTGTGTGTGTGTGTGTGTGTGTGTGTGTGTGTGTGTGTGTGAGAAACCTAAGTAGTCAACGATCTTTACCTGTTAATTGAAGTAAATGAAGACATCAGCAAATGCATGTCTCTTTCTGAAGAAGCAAGGTCTCATGAGCCATGTGTGTTGGGGGCAGGGACGGAGTCTACCAGATGCCTAGACATTTAGCATTTCGGTCCTGTTCTCTGACCTCAAATTTCAAAATGTTTAGCAAAAGCAGACAGCAGTAATTTACCAGTGAGAAGTAGCGCAGGGTGGATCAGTTATTTGTGGGGAGAAACACTCAAAAGCTAAATTGCCTGCTCCTGCCTACTTTCACTTTGTAAACGGGCATGTGGGAGTTGCCATTTATCATCTAGGACAACCGTGGGAAGCGTTTCAGCATGTGCCCAAATGACGTTATGCAAACGTTTTTTTTTTTAAAGATGATGCACAAAAGTATGTTCAGAGAGTGACTCGTATCTATCTTCCAAACCTAGAGAGTGGCTCTCATAGACTCAAAATCCAAAATTGCTGAGGGAAATAAACATCTAGAAAAAAAATTATCTGCTTCCTGTATCATGAGCTGTATGGACACTTATTTTAGTGGTGGGCTTTGTAAAGATTGCTGTATCCCTTTTTTGGAAAGAATTTCAGGTGGACTATTCTATACCATAAAAGGTCAGAGTGCAGAGGAGAACTTTTAAAATTGGATTGTGAAGGGGGTGAATCCTTTTTTAAGCTGGAGTCTTGTTGGCAAGGGACATATGTTTGTGATGGATAGGTCTTGTGTGCTAGCATTTGAGTTACTGCATATTGCTGATGGGCAGTCATAACACAAAACGGCACACCACAGTATATACAGCTTACAATGT